ATGTGCTGAATAGTGAACATCAACTAAAAAGAGATAAAAAGAAGGGAAGTTCTAAATTCGATTAAGTTCAGGAGCTGAGGTTTGGAATTGAAGACAACAGCAAAGAACTGAAATTTTCAAGTGGAAAGAAAAGAAGAGAAAATGAAAGGAATGAGGGAATGAGGAAATGTTGTGCTTATATTATTATATTTATCATGGTGTCTTTTTGTACAAACTAATAATAATATGTTATGTTAAATAAATGTATCAAAGCCATTTGTGTGCTTGTGGTACGATGATGGTACTACAAATTCCCCTTATATTTCTTATGCTTAGAACTACGTGTAATTTTAATTTTCATTTTCATTTTTGAGCATGCAAATTTTATCCTTAAACAATCTCAACTCTTGGCTATTTCAAAGAAGAGAAAACCACGACCTTGGAATTCATTAGTAGTACTAAAATTTGAATGAACTACTAAAAAAATATTGTATTAATACTTTTTGTGGCAACATTTCCTCTGGATAAAAAGATATCCAATGCCACGCATTGGAAATAAATCAAACTTTATTTGCTCGTCGATTATTAATTAGAATTTCCTCAATCTCACCATAATTAATTCAAGTTTTGGTCAATTGAGGTTTTTCTTGTCTAAAATGGCAACATTTCATTGACAAGCAAACAGATTACATGCACTGGAGCAACTGCTCCTCTACATTTGCTTGAGCACTCTCAAGCAACCAAACTGGAAAATTAACTTTCCAATCAGCAACTACTCTTAAGTTTAGAGCAAGTCTTGCTAAGCAATGACTAACAAAGTTGGTCTCCCTTTTAACAAAGGAGAAACAACATTCCTCAAAATTATATTTTAGCAGCTTTATATCCTGCAGAACTGTGGAGATAACCACATCCCCCAAATCCTTTTCTATCTTGTCTATTATAGCCTTGCAGTCGGATTCTATGATGATTCTCTCCTATCCTTCCAATACAGCTTTAACCATTCCTGTTCTGATTGCCAGAGCTTCCTCAAGTTTTGGTTCAGTGCATTTGAAATAAGGACATGCCCATGTAGCAACCAGCTTTCCCTTCCAATCTCTTGCAATAATTCCTCCTGCTTTATTTGTCTGTTGGTTCAGTGCTGCATCTGTATTCAGCTTAATCCATCATTTGTCAGGAGCTTGCCATCTTCCTAGTCTCATATCCTTTTGTTGTGACTCCACCTCTTCCTCATTTTCTTTTTCTTGCATTTTATGGAATTCTATCCAATCTGTCAGTGCTCTATTTACTACTGCCAGTGGTTCTCTCCCCTTCCCATTGAAGTTTATCTCATTCCTAGCCTTCCATATTTGCCATAACAAGTTGACTATGAATGTAATGTGCTCTTCCCCTTTCTCCCAGGCAGTTGCTTCCACCAACTCAGACCATCAAAGTCAAAATTTTCCTTTCAGGTTTTCCAATCCATCCCATTGTATTGGTGCTACCCTCCAAATTGCCTCTGTATGACTACATAGAAACAACATATGTTCTATTGATTCTGAGTATACACCATAGCATTTACATAATGGATTGCCTTTCCTGCTTCTAGCCTTGATTCCTTCATTGACTGGTAGGATATCCTTCATACATTTCCAGATAAAATGTTTCAGCTTTTGCTTCATCTTTAGATTCCATAGTACTTTCCATCCTTTAGCATTAACCTCATTCCTACTTCCTAATTCCTCATTACTCCCCTTCTTATTCCTCCATGCCATGCTTCCCTTTGTAGCTCTATATCCAGACTTAATTGTGTATTCCCCAGAAGCAGAATATGCCTCGAATAGCCTGTCCTTTGTCCTGAAGACTTAGAGGGATCTTCATAATTCTCTCCCAATCCTCCTTAGCGAATGCTTTTTGCAGTAGCTCCTCATTTCAACTGCCATGTTTTATCAGTTCACTAACTTTACATAGTCCTAGTTCTGGGTCCCTCTGTGTGCTCACCTTCCCTCCTGCCGCTCCTGGAATCCATCTGTCTTCTCAAATATCTATTGTTTTTCCATCCCCCACCTTTTTTCTGACCCCTTTCTCCAATAAAGTCTTCGCACTCAATATGCTTCTCCAGTACCAAGAATAAATGCTCCTCCTTTTCATTTTCTAAACTAAAGTGCCCTTGAAATATCTGGCTTTAAGGATCTTACTCACCAATAAATTTGGCCTTGTGAGTATCCTCCATAGCTGCTTAGCCAGAAAAGCCTGGTTAAAGCTTTCTAAATCTCTAAAGCCTAGGCCCCCACTCTGTTTTACTTTAGACAGCTTCTCCCACCCTATCCAGTGCATCTTCTTTTTCTCTCCATTGCTTCCCCCCTAGAACTTAGCCATATCTCTTCCAATACCTTTACATACCTCCTTTGGGAGTTTGTAGCATGACATAACATATGCAGGGAGAGACATGACCACAGACTTCAGCAACACTTCTTTCCCCGCCATATTTAACATCTTTTCTCTCCATCCTAATATTCTACTATGCACCTTTTCCTTCACAAAATCACATACCTGTGTTTTTGACCTTCCAATCACCAATGGTAAACTCAGGTACTTGTTTTGTTTTACTGCCTTCATCCCTTCCAATTTCTCCAGCACTTTCAATTTCTCCACTTTTTGAACATTCTTGCTGAAGAAGACTGAGGATTTCTCAGTGTTGATTAGCTATCTTGTAGCATCACCGTACTTCCTTATCACCTCCATCAGCTATCTTGCCTCCTTTTCCTTTGCCTTACAAAAGATTAGTGAGTCATCTACAAAAAAGAGATGAGACAATCTAGGACCACCATAAGATATTTAAAGGTCTGTCAATTTTTCTTGTCTTACTGCCTGATTAAGCAGTGTTGAGAAGCCTTCTGCACAAATTAGAAATATGAAGGGAGACAAAGGATCTCCCTGTCTTAGTCTCCTAGTTGGTCTGATAAAGCTCTTCTTCTCCCCATTAATATTCATTAAATAGGAAACACTAGATACACATTCCATAATCCATCCCACCCACTGCTGACAAAACCTCATTTTCAATATAAGCTTTTCTAGGAAGGTCCACTCTATCCTGTCATATGCTTTGGACATATCTAATTTGATAGCCACGTATCCCTCTTTACCAGATCTTTTGTTATTAAGGAAATGAATGCATTCATGAGCAATAAGAATATTATCCAAAATTTATTTGCCTGGAACAAAAGCAGAGTGATTGGGATTGATGCAACAATGAATAACTGTTTTTAACCTATTAACCAGGATTTTAGATATGACTTTGTATAGGACGTTACACAGACTTATAGGCCTGAATTGCATAACATTAACAGGGGAATAAACTTTGGGAATCAGGCAGATTAAAGTCTCATTGACAGCTCTTAATAGGTTGCCAGAGTGAAAAAAACTTTGAATAGCATTGATCAGATCCATTTTAATAACAGACCAAAATTTTTGGAAAAAGATATGAGTTATACCATCTGGTCCAGGTGACTTGCTTGGATGCATAGAAAATATAGGTCTATGAACCTCCTGCTCAGTCACTGGTGAGGTAAGCTGCTTGTTCTTCACACTGGTTATGGACTGTGAGATCTCATTTAATATATCATCTATTCCCTGAGGTTCTTCAGAAATAAAAATGTCTTTGACGTATTGGATTATCGCAACTCCAGTTTCCTCCACATCTTTACACCAGTCCCCATCCCTCTTTTGTATGAGACCAATCCTATTGCTCTTTCTTCTCCCAACCACGCATGCATGAAAGTAGTTGGTATTCTTGTCTCCTTCCTCCAATCATTTCTGTCTTGCCTTTTGACTCAAATATATCTCCTCCTTCTTATAGGCTTCTACCAATTCCTTCTTCAAAGCTGCCAATTTAGCTCTATTCCTGCCCACATTGCTGTCCCTTATGTCCTTAATATCTTTTTTTATTTGAGTAATGATTCTTCCAAAATTACTCCATTTTTGCTTGTTCCATCTTAATAAGGTCACTCTGCATTGTTTGAATTTATTCTGTATCCTGAAGAATCTACACTCTTTGCAAGTTGTACTCCATGCAGATTTTACTAAATTCCCCACCTTCTTGTACTGGAGCTAGTTCTTGTCAAACACAAATCTCTTTTTTCATCTCTTCCTATCTGATTTTGTGTCCAAAAGTAGCATATAGTGGTCAGAGGCTTCTTTCTCCAAATGACTGCATCTAGCATACCTGTAACTATTGCACTAGCTCCTAGATCCTAGCACTCTGTCTAACATTTCTCTGATTTTCCCCCTGGATCCTACCTGTTACATCATGTCCAAGATTTCCCCTCATATCCTATATCCACTAGGTCATTGTTATTAATGAAGTCTCTGGAGTTTTTAAAACTGCTTTCTGCTCAATCCCTACCACCCCATTTCTCTCCCTTAGATACTATATGATTCATGTCCCCCATGATTACCCAACGCTTCCCTCAAACCTGTTTTCTCCTAAACACCACATTCCATTGTTCTTTCCTAATATTAGCATCTGGACTGGCATAGATGCACACACACCACCACTCCAACTTTGTATCCTTATCATCAATCAGCAATTCGATAGTAAAACTAGTGAACAAAACCTGCTTAACATTAATCTCATTCTTTCATATCACAGTGTCAGGAACATCAAGGAGACTTTGTCATTTTATGCGAAGGTTTGTGCGTTTAAATTGAGTTGCAAAATTAGAGCTGCGGCTGAAACGGTGCCGTTAGAATAAAGGATAGTTAGTTAGGATTAGTTGGTCAGTTAGCTCAGGCTTCCATTGTTGCTACTGCTAATTCCATTATAAATAGCAAGTGTAAACAGAAAGGAGATATGAAACGTAATACAGATCTTAAACTTTCTCTTTCTAGCTTAACTAATTCTCCCATTATCTCATTTCTCCCAAACTGCCTTCACCGATCTCTCTCCCTCTTCTCTATCTCTCTCTGCATCTCACGAAACTTCAACCCAGGGGCCTGACATCTGGTATCAGAGCAGCCGATCCTTGGCTGCGAAGACACTGGACATGGCGGAGAGCACCAAATACCGCACGCTGGAAGAGCAGATCAAGAAGCAGGAGGTTCGCCTGCAAGAGCTGGTGGAAACGATGGCCGGCGTACAGGCCGCTGGCCAGCTGCAGTTTCAGAAGGAACTCGAGCAGAGGAGCTCGCGGCTGGAAGCGCTAGTAGGAACCTTGAATCAGAGGTTTGATTCCATTGAACTGAAGTTCAACAGCCTGCTGAATGTGATGATGAAGGAGAAAGGCTGCGCAGAGCAGGACTCGAGGACATCCGAACCGCTGCTACCGACTCCACCTCCGCACATGAAGCTAGGAAACCAGAATGGTACTCCTTGTGCGCCACCAGAGAATCGAAGTAAGCAATTCCATCCAATCTTGCCGAAACTTGAAATGCCTATGTTTGTCGCTGGTAACCCTAGGGAATGGCTTAGGAAATGTCAGAAATATTTCTTGAATTACCAGATTCCTGATAACCAAAAAGTAGAAATGGTAGAAATGTTTCTTGAGGGGAAGGCCGACAATTGGTTTCAAGGAGTGAAACTGGAACGACCTCACCTCTCCTGGACAGAGTTTAGTGACTTAATGTGCGAAAGATTTTCTGGTAAAGGCTCCCGTGATGTGGTAGAGGAATTTAATAAACTTCAACAGAAGGGAACGATAGAGGAATATGAGGAAAAATTCGAGGAGCTTAAAACTCTCATGCTCCTCAGAAATCCTAAATTAGATGAGCTCTACTTTGTCTCCAGTTTTGTCAGTGGCTTGAAAGAGGAAATTAGACCAATGGTGAAAATGTTTAAGCCACAATCACTGGCGAAGGCCTTCGAAGTAGCGGAATTACAGGAGTGTTCCTTAGAAGTGCAAGCCAGACATTCGCGAAGTGCTAGTAAAACTGTGTTGGACTCCAGATTCGGATTGTTCAAAAATCCACCTAATAATCCGAAGTCCCCTAGTTCCTACCGTATTCCAGCAATCACACCAAACACCAACAAGTCAGAAAATGTGGCTAGAGAATTCAATAAGATCTCTGCTGAGGAGATACAGTATAGGCGCAAACATGATCTGTGTTACAGGTGTGGTGAGATGTTTGGGGCGGGGCATCGCTGTAAGCCAGGAAGCTTGAACTGTGTGGATTTGGAAGAAGGGGATGAAACGGATTTTGAGGACGCCGAAGGGGAACAAGACGCTAGCACTGGACGAGTTGGGGAATTAGCTGAGGTTTCTTTGAACGCCTTGAATGGAGCCATGAACAGGAAGTCTATTATACTACTGGGTAACATGGGAGGGCTACCAGTAAAAATCTTGGTGGATACGGGAGCTTCGAACAGCTTCATCCACTTCGACCTTGCTAAGTCTTTATACTTACCCCATCAGGAGGTGACCCCTTTTACAGTCACCTTGGCGGATGGTACGGACATTACTAGTGGGGCAATTTGTCCAAGAGTCAAGTGGCTAATACAGGATTATCAGTTCCAGTTTGATTTGAAGGTGATGGATTTAGGGAATTGGGACATTATTTTAGGGGTAGATTGGATGTACCAATTCAGTCCCATTACGTTTGATTTTCATAGTCTCAGTATTGCTCTCAGCAGTAGTGGAAGTTTGTTGCACTTACAAGGGCTTATCAACCAACCTGTGATGAAGCTGGTGAGAGGTAAGGACCTCAGGTCTTTTATACAAGAGAAGCATAGGCACTGTGCAGCCTTGCAAGCTGAATCACAGGAGCACCAGCAAAGAGATATTCCTGAGCAGGTGGAAGCGGTCCTGCAACAGTACTCACAAGTATTCGCCACCCCGACAGGTCTGCCCCCGAAGAGAGAGCCGGATCACCAAATCACTCTCAAACCTGGAGCGGAACCATTCAAACTAAAACCTTACCGGTATCCTCACGCACACAAAACTGAAATTGAGAAGCAAGTGGCTGAGATGCTTTCTAGTGGTATTGTTATTCACAGTAGTAGTCCTTTCGCATCTCCTGTTTTGCTGGTCAAGAAAAAAGATAACTCATGGAGATTATGTGTGGACTATCGAAAGCTAAATGAGCTGACAGTTAAAGATAGATTTCCCATACCAAATATAGATGAACTTTTGAATGAGTTGCATGGGATGAAGTACATGTCTAAGCTGGACCTTAGAGCGGGTTACCACCAGCTGAGAGTTAAAGCAATGGATACACGCAAAACTGCCTTCCAAACGCATCATGGTCACTTCGAATTCTTGGTCATGCCGTTTGGATTGACGAACGCGCCAGCTACCTTCCAAGCCTTGATGAATCGGATTTTCCAGCCATATATGAGGAAGTTTGTGTTAGTATTTTTTGACGATATCTTAATCTACAGTCCCACCTTCGAGTCGCACCTGCAACATCTCCAAATTGTCCTTGGGGTCTTGGCGAACAATCAACTATTCTGTAAAAGATCTAAATGCTCCTTTGCCCAGACTTCCGTGGAGTATTTGGGACATGTAATATCTGAAAATGGCGTAAGCATGGACAAGTCTAAGATAGAGTGCATACTCTCCTGGCCAGCGCCCGAAACAGTAAAAGAATTAAGAGGATTCCTGGGTTTAACAGGGTATTACCGAAGATTCGTTAAAGGATATGGGGTAATCAGTAAGCCATTGACTCAATTGTTGAAAAAGGACGGATTCACATGGAATTCTGAAGCTCAGATGGCCTTTGAGGATTTGAAGAAAGCCATGACGACTGCCCCCGTACTGAGCATGCCCAACTTTGAGCTTCCCTTCGTCATCGAGACGGATGCCTGTGAAGTGGGCATTGGGGCAGTCCTGATGCAACAAGGGCATCCCATAGCATTCCTTAGCAAAGCTCTAGCAAACCAGAATCTAGGTATGTCGGTATACGAGAAGGAGCTCTTTGCATTGGTGCTGGCGGTCACCAAATGGAAACATTATCTAGTCGGTCATCGCTTCATTATCCGAACGGATCATCAGGCCCTCAAATACTTGTTAGAACAGCGACTCACACATCCGTTGCAACACAAATGGCTGACCAAGTTGTTAGGCCTGGACTACGAGATCCATTATAAGAAAGGCATCGACAATGGAGTGGCGGACGCATTATCAAGGCGACGGATAGTCGATCACAGTAAGGGGTGTTCAACCGAGTCTGGAATTTTGAATGCTATTTCGTCAGTGCAGCCAGCTTGATACAAGAATTATTAGATAGCTACGCAGGTGATGCTATGGTCCAGGACCTCATTCCCCAACTACTGCTGGATCCCTCTTCAAACTCAGATTATCAATTCGACAAAGGTCTGCTGAAGTTCAAAGGCAAGTTGTACGTAGGGACTGCTAAAGGGATCAAAGATAACCTTATCAAGGCGTTGCATGATTCTGCAGTTGGGGGACATTCCGGTCAGAGAGGGTGTCTACAAAGGGTGCAAGCACTATTTCACTGGCCCGGAATCAAGCGAGACGTCGTACAGTTTGTGAAATCTTGTGACGTATGCCAACGGAGTAAGCACGAAAATGTCCCTTACCCTGGGCTGCTACAGCCACTTCCAGTTTCTCAGCATGCATGGTCCCAAATAACCATGGATTTTGTCGAACAGTTGCCCGTGTCGCAGGGATTTGATACCATATTCGTGGTGGTGGATCGCTTCACTAAGTTCAGCCATTTTATGCGACTTTCTCACCCTTATACAGCTCAACAGGTAGCCATGGTCTTCCTTGATAATGTGTATAAGCTTCATGGGTTGCCGGAGGTCACCGTATCCGACCGGGACAGGGTGTTTCTAAGTGGATTCTGGCAGGAAATGTTCAAATTATTGGGAACTAAACTCCATTACAGCTCGGCCTATCATCCGCAGTCCGACGGGCAAAGCGAGAGAGTTAACCAATGCCTGGAAACGTACCTAAGATGTATGTGTAGTGAGCATCCAACGCGGTGGAGTGTATGGCTATCTACAGCAGAGTATTGGTACAATACCAACTTCCATACCAGTTTACATCTTTCTCCCTTTGAGGCATTATATGGGTACAAGCCGACGCTAATTCCTTTGGGACCCTTCCATGACGTTGTCATTCCAGCTGCTGCTGACTTGGTACAGGAACGGCTACAAATCACGTCCCAAATCAAGGAAAATTTAGCAAAGACTCAAAATCGTATGAAGCACTACGCCGATCAACACCGGACGGAGAGGACTTTGCAGGTAGGAGATTGGGTTTACCTCAAGCTGCAACCTTATAGGCAGCAATCGGTAGCTATTAGAAGGAGTTTGAAGCTGTCGGCTAAGTATTATGGCCCTTTCCAAATTGTTGAAAGGGTGGGGGCTGTAGCCTATAAGCTTCGTTTACCACCAGGCGCTAGAGTTCATCCGGTGTTCCACGTTTCTCTACTTAAGAAAAAGATTGGGGACAGTCAGCCCATTGAGGCCGTCTTGCCAGAGCTGGATTCCTCAGACCAGTGTTTGTTGCAGCCGGAGCAAGTGCTTAGACGCAGAGTCACCATGCGGAACTCTCAACCAGTAATACAATATCTTGTCAAGTGGAATCAGCTGCCGGACTCAGAGGCGTCTTGGGAGGATAAGAGTTTCATCGCCAGGATGTTCCCAGACTTTAAAGCTTGAGGACAAGCTTTCTTTATGGGGGAGGGATTGTCAGGAACATCAAGGAGACTTTGTCGTTTTATGCGAAGGTTTGTGCGTTTAAATTGAGTTGCAAAATTAGAGCTGCGGCTGAAACGGTGCCGTTAGAATAAAGGATAGTTAGTTAGGATTAGTTGGTCAGTTAGCTCAGGCTTCCATTGTTGCTACTGCTAATTCCATTATAAATAGCAAGTGTAAACAGAAAGGAGATATGAAACGTAATACAGATCTTAAACTTTCTCTTTCTAGCTTAACTAATTCTCCCATTATCTCATTTCTCCCAAACTGCCTTCACCGATCTCTCTCCCTCTTCTCTATCTCTCTCTGCATCTCACGAAACTTCAACCCAGGGGCCTGACACACAGCCAAACCCCCAGCCAGACCAACAGGGTCTACAACAAAGAGATTATCAAACCTTATTTTTTGCTTAACACTATTCAGAACACTATTTTTGTTTTTTATTTCAGAAAAAAAAATTAAAGAAGGGGAGTGGAGTACCACAGCCTCCTTGAATTGGGGAACTTTCAAAAGGCTCCCAATACCTCGACAGTTTCACACCAGAGCTCTCATAGGAACTTGAGAGTCCCATTAAGGGAGGGCTCCACCACCTCAGACACATCCATATAACACTTCTCTTGATCAGTTTTCTTGTTCTTTTTTCGACCATTACTAGTCTCAGTACCACTGTTCATCCCTACTTCAACACTAGGAATCTTCCTCTTTCCTGATTCAGTCTCACTACTTCTGTTTGATATGTCACTAAGAGGTTTCCTTCTCCCTACTTCCTGCGCTAACCTCTTTGTAGACACCAAATTTCTGTCAATTTTTAATATTTTTTCAAGATTTTCTATTTAATGAATTATTTATTTTCTAGCATTTTAATGTGCATTTTTCTCATTTTTGCAGGTTTGTTTTAAAAAAAAAACAACAACAACAAAAAGAAAATCAAAAAAAAAAATCAAGTCAAAATCAAATTATTACTAAACTTACACATTTTCATCATTTTCCTTACAAAATACACTTAACCCATTCCTACACTCAACTTTCTTGTCATTTGATAAAAAATAATCATTTTTGACCAAACACACACACAAGCTCCTCTTTTTCTCTCCCAATATCGACTCTCTGGCCTCTCTCAGACGGATAGAACAAGGAAAAAAGAAACACTCCACTTTTTGGCTCAAAAAAAAGAAGAAAAAATAAAAGAAAGACTCCTATCTCCCTCTCGGCTCTCCTCTCTCCCAAATTTTTTCCAACACATTTGCACACAACAACAAGGCAGCAATCGGTTGGATTGGAGCTTGGCAATTTCATCAAAAACCTTGGCAAAGGGACCAAACTCTTCATTGAGGTATTTATCTCCCTTTTTTCCAGCTTTTCTTTTTTTAATTAACTAGATTGAATGTATGTGTGGTTACCTTTTTTGTTGCTTACTTTTGCTGGTTCTTGTTGATGTTGTATGGATGAAAATTTGAAAAATAGCTTGAGCTAGATTAGGGAAAAGGGGGATAGATTTTGTATATGCATGTTAGGTGTTTGAAAAAATGCCTAAATCAAAAACCGAATTAAAGTACCCATTATCGTGCATTTTGTTTGTTAAAATAGATGATTATGGTTAGTGCAAGGCCTAAAAACGTGAGGTTGCTCAAGCAGTTTGGGAATTTGAACTTTAGAAGCATGTGAATAATTTTTCTTCATTTTGGACTGTTTTATTTTAATTTTGTCACATTTGTTGTTGCTTTTATTGATTTCAGTTCATAGTTAGGTTGTAAAAATCACAAGGAGTGTTGTAGTATATTTTTTATAATTTTTAGTGGAAGATATGGTGATTTGGAAAAATAACCACTGGTCTGTCTTTTACTTTTTTTGGCCACTTTCGGGTCATTTTTTGTAAAAAATAACTTCAAAAATGGATTCTACGTGAAAAATCGAATGAGGGGATGTATTTTGGTGAAATTTGGTAACGGGAGAGGTTGCCGACGACCGCCGGCGACGGCGGTCCGGCGGCGGCAGCTGCCATGGCCGATAGCTGAGAAGCTTCAGCTGGCCAGGCAAGAAGAAGAAGAAACGGACGGTGAAGAAAAGAAAGAAAAGAAAGAAAATGGTTTGGGCTATTGTTTTTATTTTCGTGTGGGCTTGTGGTTCTTTTTAGTTGGGTTTTGGTTTATTTCTTTTGGGTTTTGGTTGGGCTAGAAGGTCAGAGCCCATACTTTTTTTTATTGGGCTCAAGTGATAAAATGACGGGCTGGCCTGTGTATTTTAGCCTGGACTTTGATTGGGCCGGATGGCCGTGGCCCAAAGAAAAATAGAGAATGGCCCGGTGGCCTGTTTTCTTAAGAAGATCTGCTAGTGAAATTTGCACTTTAACCCCTGATCTTTGGAGTAGTTTCACTTCGGCTCAGAATATTTTAAATTTCTTTCACTTTGGTCCTTAAATTAATTTCATTTTGGTCCCTAAATTTTATCTTTCATTTAATTTTGACTCCTGAACTTTGGAAAATATAATTTTAATCCCCAAAAGTTTTTAATTTTTGCAATTCAGTCCCTAATGAGCTTTGTCTCTCTTTATTATGATTGTTTCTTTTCTTTAATAGCCAATTATGTTACTTTTGAGTATGCTTAACTTGTAATTTTTAGATGTTTTTAAATTTATTTACGTTTGACGTGTTAAGGTGAATTTAGTAGTTTCATTATTATTACTATTATTTCAATTAAATTGGTGCCATGATTCTTTTGTTCATTGTGAATATAAATAGGGCAATTTGACTCCATTTAGTCACCACTTCAAAAGGGAGGTACCCCTATTATTATTTCAATGTCAATTACATGCTTCTATGTGTTTCTACGTGTTCCTATGTGTTTATATATTTTTTATATGCTTTATTTATTTGATTTGAATGTTCGCTTAAATTTTCTTGCATTTGTTTAGTTAATTTTATAATTATTTAAGAGGCATTTAAATACCTCAAAAATGTAATAGATAGGATAAGTTTATTTTAGCATACTTTCCCCCTTTTAGATTGTAGTTAGGCACTCCCCGATGTAATAGGTAGGTTGTGTGTTTATGTGGCTTATGTGTTACATGTCTTACCCGCTTTCCTTAGGATTTTTTGCATCTAAATATTATGTTTATGTGTTATGTGCTACGTGCTATTATGTGCTTATTTGTTTTAATTTATGCTTACTTGTCTTATTATGTATTAAAAATGCATGACGTCACCACACTAGTCCAACACTAGTTGTGGCTTCTCCCTCCGCTTATTTGCTAGTCCAACGCTAATAAGGATTTTTAGAAATGGGCTAGTCCAATGCTAGACCCTTTAGGCCGTCCTGCGCTAGATTCATCTTTGTGTGATAATTCACTACATTTTCATGCATATTTTCATTTTTAGAATCTTTTTTCATTTGCACGCTATTTCCTATTATATTATCCTCTACCCCCTATCCTCTATATGTGTTAATCATGTCATTTAGAATTGCATCTCATTTTAACTAGTTCATTTGCTTGTCCAGATTAGGAAAATTATTCTTTGAACATGGGGAATGGGGTGATTATAACTT